GCAATGCCCTTTAAAGATGCCAAATGAGCCTGAACTGAGAGTTTTGTGTAACCATGTCGAATATTCCCCAAATGTATTGACCCATGAAGAACTCCCGCCCAGGACACCCATGAGGACTCTTCAGCTTTAGACTTGAACCAAGGCTAGCCCACACATGAGAGAGTCCCTCTGCACTTCCTAAGGACGCACCAACAGTCACATTCCAGCCAAGTACAGCCAGGGCAGCAGGCTTGACCCAGACTGTCCCAGGGATGGGAACTGAGGGAGGAGGGGAGCAAGGCAAGTCCAAGTTAATTCAGGGTGTGTGTGTGTGTGTGTGGTGTGTGTGTGTGTGTGTGAGAGAGAGAGAGAGAGTGTGTGTGTGTGTGTGTGTGTGTGTGTGTAAGCATGCTTGTGTGCCAGCAAAATCCCCCACCCCAAGACACCTTTAAAGCAGGGGAAACTATTAAATTAGACAGATGTAAACCCGGACAAAAGATGTTATTCTACGACAAACATACTCGAGAATACAGTAATCATGGCAAAACCTCACCTGTTAATTCACAGCAAGTGAGAGCCCAGTAAGATTATATATTTTAGCACAGTTTGATAGATATGTAAAATGCATTCATCTAAAGTGATGATTTTGGTGAATTCCACCAAATATAATCATGCCACAATGAAGACATGGGCCATCCCCCCTCCCCCCCAAGGGGAAAAAAAAATCCCCCTGTTCTGGCAAAAAAAAACAAAAAACAAAAAACAAAAAACCCAAAAACAAAAAAAGCAAAACAAAAAAAAACCCTCCTGAATTCCAGTTCCAGGTCACCACAGATCAACTGTTGCACAGATAAGTTTGACTGGTAGGAAAATGTCATATAAATAAAGACTCGTGAAATGTACGGTTTCCTTTGTTCACCACTGTACTCTTGGGACCTGCTGCTACAGTAATTTTCCTCTTTAGCAGAGTTCTGAGCCTTGAACTCTGCACAGGCCTTCTGCCCCACCCCCTTGTCTTTGATACCATATTTTGCCTGTATTTCCAGTCTTACATTTGTTGTTTGTCTTATTTGCATTTTTACTCCTGTTTCTTTACCTTTCCACTTTCTAACTTACAGAATGAGGCTTAGGTATAAGCGAAAAAGTTGTACAGAATAAATGTAATGTACCCATTCTCCAGAGCTGTACTGTCCTTGACAGCTATGGCCCTTCCTCATCCTACAAGAAATCTCTTGCTTTCAAGACCTGGATGAAGCTGAAGCCCTTTTGTTGCCTAGCTGTCAAGGGCACACTTGCTCAACCTGTTCTGCCTGGCAAGTGTTCTGCACTTGCCCTTGATTGGAGAAGGCAGGGAAGAGTTTTTTCTTGCTTCTGGTTACATTCAGAAACTTTAAGCACTTTAGGAGGTCATACCTTCTGACTTTTCCTAGTCTGAGGCTCAACTATCAGGTCCAACTCCTCAAGCTCTGGCTCACTAGGGTTCCGGGACAGCCACAAGTCTAAGAGATTGTGGACAACCTACTCTCCCTTGTCCTACCAGGCAGCAGGCACCACCCCTGCTAAGGGCAAAGCAGCTACTTCCTTCCCATACTCGGCAGCCACTTCTCCTCAGACGACTCTGAGCCCTTGGCTGAAACCGACTCTTCCACCTTTCCTTGGAGTAAATCAGGGTTCCCAGGTTTCTAGGGACTTGGGCTGCCTTTGCTCCTCCCCTCTGGGGCGGGGGCGGGGTGGAGGCGGGAGCGGGGGAGGGGGCATGCACACGATATGAGGGGAGGGGGAACCGAATAGGGTGTGGGTGCAGCCCCGTCACAGCTGAGCAATTTCACTTTCTGTTTCCCTGTGTTTGGAGGGCCCTCAAGGAGTTCTCTCTGAGCTTCCCAGGGGCTCAAAGGTGGTGCACTCTGCTTTGAGCCAAGTTCAGGGCACCCTCGGGGCTGTGTAGGGGATGGCAAGAGAGAACGATGGATCCAGAAGCAGGTAAGTCCTTTCTCCTCTTCTAGTCCTGCTAAGATCAATGTTTTTATGTGCTATTAGGGTAGCCGAAACCGGGTTCACAGTCCTTAGGTATGTGAGACAATGAGATCACAAGGAATTAAGAACCTGGACAAGCGTTTTCAGTGCCTTAGGCTAGCTGTTTGAGTCCTGTGGCCACCTCAACTCACCTCACTCCATTTCCTTACTCCTGTCACAGCTGGGCTGACACTGTGTGGACTTCCTGGGAGCTCCTGGAGGAGTGGCTGGTTCATTGTGATCTCTCCCTAATTATCATTTTAAAAGTCAACTCTGTCCAAAAATGATCATTTAGAAAAAGTTCAAACCTGATTCTGTCTGTCATCAACATTTTCTCAGTTTACAGTTGGGAACAGTTGAGCTGTGAGCCCACCTGTATCGCTTAGGTCAGCTCAGGAGTTTGATCAAGCAAATAAGGGGAGTGAGAGGTGATGAACACCAATGTGTAATGGAAGCAGGTGGGCAGTGGGCGTTGCCTTTAACCTTTCTTTCTTTCTCCCCTCCTTTCTTTCTTTCTTCCTTTCTTTCTTCCTTTCTTTCTTCCTTTCTTTCTTAATCTGTGCTGGTTACATAGCTGATTAGAAATGGTTTGAAATTATCTTACACACACACACACACACACACACACACACAGTGGGAGGGACTGGAGAGATGGCCCAGTGGTTAAGAGTTCATAATACTCTATTAGTGGGCATGGGTTGGGTTCCCAGCACTCATCTTAGGGCTTCCAACTGCCAACGACCCAACTTTAGGAGATCAGACATCCCCTATGTCCTCCACAGGCACTGCACTTAACATGTAGGAAACACACATCGAGACAGACACATACATGATTAAAAAGGAAAACAGAACAAGTAAGACAAAAGTTTATGGAGCTAATCAATCTCTAACTGGAACTCAGTCAAGGCCACTTCTGGTCCTGCAGAAGTCCTAAGAAAGCATGGTTTCTCCGGTGAAATTCGGTCAAATCCACAAGTGATACCAACAGCCTGCTGTCTCTTTTGGGCATGGTGTGGTATTAATTAGAGGCTCAATTTCTTTAATACAAGCCTGTTCAGGTGATCTGTCTCTCAGAGTGTGAGTTTTGGTAGCTTCTGTGTTTTAAAACATCTGGTCATTTTTGTTGCTGTTATTATCAAATCTGCAGATCTAGGGATGGCTGCTCTACTTGATCTTTGCTGTCCTTTCAATGTTGGAGGAACTCATAGTGTCTGTCTTTTTGTTTATCTTTTCCTTGTTAGCCCGACTAGAGATATAATAATAAAAAAGGTAAAGATAATAAAAGGTAAAGATAATAACTTTATTGCTCTTTCCAAATGAGTAGCTTTTGGTGTGATATATAATCACACCTCTTTAGTCTAAGTATAATGCCAACTTATTTTAATTTTATGGATTTCTGCTTTAACCTTTATTGCATCATTTGTTTTCATTGGGATGAAATTGCTTTTCTTATTTTTCCTGATTCTTAGAAGATTTTCATATAGACCTCTCTTAGCTTCTGATGTATGCATTTAATTCTATATGTTTCCCCCTAGGCACAGCCTTTGTTGTATCTCAACTTTAATTTTTTTTTTATCTTCAGGGATTTATAGTGCAGGAGAAAGGGCCACATTTTTACCTGTCTATACCCATAGTTTTTTTTAAATTATGTTCATTTACTGTATGTGTGCAAGTGCCACAGTGTGTATGTTGAGGTCAGAGAACAATTTTTCCAGAGTTGGTTCTCTCCTTCCACCATGTAGGTCTAGGGGACTAAATACAGGTTCTCCCTCAGACTTGGTGCAGGGTCGCTATTATATTTTCTAAAATAAAAATGAAGGAGAGGATGTAATCCTGCTTTATCTTCTTGCAAATGCCTTTACTCTCCTGCTTAGGCAAAGTCAGACTCCCAGTTTACTTCTCTGTCTAATCTGCTGTGATGCCACAGCCCAGGGAACCTCTGAGAATCCCACTGAACACTTTTGGGAGGAGGAAAGAGATAAAAAGGGTAAACAGTATCTCAGTATTAGCCTGAGAATAGTTTGTCCTCAGTGACAACTAAAAAAGTCTTGAGCAGTGCCAGGGTTCCTCAGACTCTACCCTGACAGCCACCATTTTCAATGATTTAGCATTTTATATGCCAAAAAAAAAAAAAAAAACACAAAGTGACAGTACCAGTTGATGTGCTGGTGTGGATGGGGAAATCTCACAAGGCCCCACCCCTAGATGAAGAGCTATAGGCAATTAATAGCTGTAGAGAAGGGGAGGCTCAACCCGTATTCTTCAAGGATAACCTAATTCTGTTATGTTATCCACTCCCTAGTGGTCAGCCCTAAACACAGGCATAGGAACAACTCTAAATGAACTCAGCAGATTCTATCTATCCATCTATCTCATCCATCCATCCGTTTGTCTCATCCATCCATCCGTCTATCTATCTCATCCATCCATCATCTATCTCTCTTCATCTATCTATCAATCATCTATCTATCTTTCATCTATCCATCTTCATCTATCATCTATCTACATCATCATCATCTCTGTATTTGTATTTGTATAAATATATATGTAATAATAATTAAAGAAGGCATTTGAGGAAGAATGGGACAGGAAAGCATGGGGGCACCGTAGGGGAAAAAGGAGGAGTTGAAATGAAATAAATACAGTATTCATGGATGAAATTTTCAAAAAAATTATAAAATTCTAAAGCAAGCAAAAGGCAAAAAGAAAAAATGTGTCTTATTTTAATTTTTCTATTTTGATTTTTAATTAATTATTTAGATTAGCATACAAAATAATGGGTCTCATCATGGCATCTTCATACGTATGTATCGTATGAAGCACAGAGGCAGACGGATCTCTGTGAGTTTGAGACCAGCCTGGTCTACAAAGGGCTAGTTCCAGGACAGCCTCCAAAGCCACAGGGAAACCCTGTCTCGAACTCCCCCCACCCCCACCCACCGCAAAAAAAAAAAATCAGACACTAGAGGGCAAGCACTTTTATTCACTGAACCATCTCACCAGCCCTCCTGCCATTTATTTTGTAGTAGAAAATTGCTGGTATTGATTTTTTTCCATTATTTGAGACAGAGCCTTCTATATAGCCCAGGCCAGCCTTGAAGTCACTAGGTAAGGGCTAACAAAATGCCTCAGTGGGTAAAGGTGCTTCCTGGGCAAGCCAGACAACCTGAGTTTGATGCCTAGAACCCATTAAAGAGTGGAAAGAGAGAACCAACTCCACTCACCAATACGTGTGCTATTACTGTAATAGTATTAATGATAAGTAAAATTTAAAAAGAAAGTAAACCACTTTGTAAGCCACGATGGTCCTTCTGCTTCAGCTTCCAGGAGGCCATGACTGTAGACTATATGCCCAATTTTCTTGCTTCTGTCTGTCATTGCACTATACATCATAATTTGTTTCCATTTGTCTGCCAGAATGGAGTCAATAACATGAACAAGCAACCCCCATGTCTCCTTGGGCTCTGGGCTTTCCTTCCCTAAAGGATACTCTACTTGGACTCTGTCTCTGGGTACAGAGCAGTAGCCACCTGAGATGTCAGACCTGGGAGCAGAGGACAGAGTGGTTAAAAAGTGCTGGCTCTGAGCTGCAAAGAGACCCCATCACTGCAAGGAGATGGGAAACTCGAGGGAAGAAAGCATGTGGAGCACTGAAGGATGAGCTGCACAGTGTGTGTGTGTGTGTGTGTGTGTAGAACGTTTTCTTAGTCCTGAATCAAGTACTTACCAATTTTGCCTTCACACATGAACTGGAAGAAGATGGTGGGGTTTTGTTTGTTTGTTATTGTTGTTTTGTTATTCCTTTACCCAGGAGTCTATAGATTGTGTTCCAGTTTCATTTCTGTTGCTGTGATAACATGTGATAACATACCCTGACATAAAGTGACTTGCGAGAGAAAGAACTTATTAGCTCTCAGGTCTAGATTACAGTCCATCACCACAGGGAAGTCTAGGCAGGAACTTGAAGCAGCTAGTCATATCCCCAGTCAAGAGCAGGAGAAATGAATGCAAAAGTGCCTATCAGGGCTCAGCTTGTTCCCTACACTTAATGCAGCCTGGGATCCCCTACCTAGGAATTGGTGCCACCCACAGTGGGCTGGACCTTACCATATCAATTAGCATAATGAAGACAACCCTACTAGACAGATGTACTCATAGACAGTCCTATATCTAGATTAAGCCCAGACCTTAATCTAGACAGTCCTATAAGATTCACACAATCCCAGATGATTTTAGAGTCTGTCGGGTTAACAATTAACACTAATCATCATGTTGACCATGGTGGAGCATGATTTGAATCCCAGCACTCAAGAGAGGCAGGTGAATCTCTGAGGCTAGCCTGGTCTACATAGCAAGCTCCAGACAAGCCAGACTTACAGGCTGTCTCAAACAAACAAAACCCAAAGCATCGCAACTTGCACCACTATTTTAAATGTTTTAAGTTTCAATTTTACTTCAAAAATTTCCTTTTAGTGGAAATTTCGTGCCAGAAATTATCCAGCCATTGGTAGCCTCTTGTAAGCCAGTTTATACTTCTACATGGAATCTATCCCTTAGGTCAACCCCTGAGGGCAGCGTGTTTGAAGAGGAGTCAGCTGACTATCAACTCATGTTCAAACGCTTCAAAGAAAATAAGGTGGAAATCGCAAGCGCCATCACAAAGCCATTTCCTTTCCTTATGAGTCTTCGAGACCGTGGATTCCTCTCTGAGCAGAAGTTCCAGGTGAGTGAGGAGAATGACCTCAGCCCTGAGAGTAAGCCTGCCCCATGCTGTATTACACTGAACCTCTGGATGCAGCCAACAGGCTGAAGGGCCTCCAGGGAGGAGGGACCTTCCCTTCTTGGAAGTCAGAGGTGACAGGAGAAGCGGGCATCACAGGGAATGTTCGCATCCATCGCTGCTGGAACCAAGGCTGAGAGGTTCATGGTGACAGAGGGTGGATAGGGAGGGGAAAGATCTAAAGGGCGGAGCACCCCAGGTTAACTTGTGCAGTGCAATATCAGAAGCTAGAATGAGAGTGGACACGTCCAAGCAGGACTTCCTGACAAAGCCTTTTTATTCCAAATCCCAGAGCCTGAGGGTTTTGAAAGTCAAAGGAAGCTGAGCAGTGTGGAGCAGGCCTTCAATCCCAGCACTCAGGGAGGCAGAGGCAGGCTGATCTCTGTGAGTTTGAGATCAGACTGGTCCACAGAGTGAATTCCAGGACAGCCAGGGCTATGCAGAGAAACCCTATCTCAAAACACAAAAAGAAAGAAAGGAAGGGAGGAAGGAAGGAAGGAAGGAAGGAAGGAAGGAAGGAAGGAAGAAAGGAAGGAAAAACAGAAAGCCACAGGCAGTTGGGTCACGTGAGGCTAGAAATGGAAGTCATGCTTGCTTCTCTCCTAAATGTTCCTTGTTCCTCAGGCACCACTGAGGCCCTAGAATGTAGTAAAGGTGGGTGATGGGGTCCCCTGGGGATAATGAAGACAAGCCTTCTCTTCTTTGTGCATTGTCTTTGCCCTGTGGCCAGGATGCTCACTTGGTTGCCTTGAGCCCTGATGACCATGTCAGTCTCTGAGGAGTTACTGTCTGGTCCCCAGACAGCCTCTCATGGCCTGTTAGGGCCACTGTGGAGCATCTTGGCCTGGCTCTTACAGACACATCATTAGATTATTCTTTAGAATACTCTTTCCTGTCAACTGTGTGTCAGCATCAGAGATGCTCTCGGATAAGCATGGGTCTGTCATTGTGGAGAGGACATGCAAGATGTCACCCGATATGTGCAAAACTCAGACACTTCACAAGCAATCAAATGGTGCTTGAACCGGTCTAAGCCTCTCTTATAACCCATAAATCCATTGTGACATAATTCTTCATTCAATATTTTTAAGAATTTTAAAGGAAGTTGTCAGAACCTGATCCCAGTGGAAAGAGTGGTGTATGACATCCTCAGTGACCTACAGAACAATTTTAGCCTGGCACTTCTGGAAGTGATCTTCAGCCCAACGCATCTGAAGGCCTACCCAGACTTACAGGAGATTCTAAGAGTCATCCTAAATGGTAAATATAGCTCCGGGAATTCAAGAACATTTCATTCATTCATTTAATCACTCATTCTCTTTTTCAGTGATAGCTGACATATAATTTATTGGGGGACTATGACATGCTAAGCATAGGTGATGTTGTCTGAGGCTGGCAGAAGTTCAGGGTGGCCAGCAGCACTGAACAGGGTTCTCATGGGAGACCTCAGGGATGTGAGGAGTGTGATGAGTCTGATACAGAGGAAAAACAGGGAGAGATAATAGAATTGGAGCCCGTTTCGTGGAGGTAAGAGCTGTAGAGTCAAAGGAAGCTCAGAGACACAAATGGGATGAGCTAAAGAGCTTTGAGATCAACAAGGAAGAAAAGGGCTGAGGCATGTGAGCTGCTTTCTGTTGCAAAAGAACAGCATTGGGGACCAAAAGATGAGAAGAAAATGACAGGGGTTAGCAGAGAGAAGAGAGACAGAGCACGGCTCTGGGTGGGTGGGGGTGAGTACCTCAGATGAGGTGAAGTAATTTACCTGTGTGCTGAGGGCAAGAACTGGTTAAGAGTGCTTGGGGGTCTCTGCCTCTCATCAGTGTCTGATTCAGTCATTGTCATGTTTCTCTTCAGTTTCCAACAATCACAGGGCTCTTCAGAGGATAAATGGAAGACATGCTGAAGACAGGCCCAGACTGCCAGCAGTTGTTAGGGAAGGTGATTATGTTCTTAGATTACAAATTACCTCACTGATGCTGTTTTCCTCTCTGTACCCTTCCCTCATCACACACACACACACACACATACACACACACACACACACACACACACACACACACTTTTGTTCAACTTGTGGTTGCTGTCCCCAGTGGGAAACAAGAAGGAAGGAGGTGAGTCTCTTAATAGAAGAGCTGCTGCGTAATTAAAGGGTACAAAGTCATAAAAATGACGATTAGAGGCAGGGACAGGAGATTCCTAAGCAGACTTGAGTTTATCTAAATCAATCTGGCTTTACATACAGTTATGTGTCACTTAATGATGGCAATGAATTTCTGAGAAATGTGCCTTGAGGTGAGTTCTTATTGCGTCGACACTGTAGAGTTCCCTGCCCCTAGAGATCCCAGTTATCAGGTCATATTAGCCTAGGCAATGTCTGTCTCATATGTGGTCCATCCTGGACTAAAATGTTATCATGCGTCATAAGAAGTATTCTCAGGATGGAGTTTGATAAGAAAGTGAAAAATGCAAATGTGCTTGCTAGAGGTCATATAAGAACAACGAAACGTGGCATTAGGCGAAATGTAGGGGAAGGGGGTCTAAAAATAAAGATGATTAGAGAAGAGATCAAACCTTGTGTCTAGAGAAAAAGACAGAAATGGAAAGATATGGCAACAGTCAGCAAGAGAAAGTCAAGTCAATAAGCTCTTTAAACAGATGCATGGTATACAGACAACAGTGTGGGAAGATAGTGTTGAAGACAGGAAAAGGAGACGGGCCAGGCAGAGTGCTCAAAGAGGTTGGCAAATCTTGGGGGTGCAAACATGCTCACTCTTGGGCAGCAACTTGACACTGTCAGAGTCCCGCCTATTCACAGCCGGGATGTATCCAGGTCATTAGCAGCTATCTTCATGGTTTTTCTCTCTTTAATGACTCAGGCACCTTCTTTACAAATGGTTGGAGGAAGAAAATCAGAAGTACAGAAGGTGATATAGATTCAATGACCTAACGAGTTTTATTTCTCAGCCATCACAGAGAAGAACCTCCATTCCTTTACCTCCTTTCCTGTTCACCAATCTGTCATCCATGAGGCCACTCACTCATGTACCAATACAACCATCTAGCTACCCATCTGCCAGCCTATGCATCTCTCCTCCATCTATCCGTCCATCCATTGACTCACATGCCAATATAACCATCCATCCATTTCCCTATCTATCTATCTATCTATCTATCTATCTATCTATCTATCCATCCATCTATCTATTTTCTGTCTGTCCATCTATCCATCTATCTATCCATCCATCCACCCATTCTTTTCTTTTCTTCCACTACTCCCCACAGACGGCCAGATTATGTTCAACTTTTGAATTGTTTTCAGGAGACACAAACAGTATAGAAGTCTGATTTCAGGCTGTTTGAAATTTTCCTGAGTACAGACCATACACCAAGAGAGGGAATTTGAGAACTCTAGATGGAGCCATCACATCTGGAGCTCTGAGTGACTGCCAGTTTTACCTAAATGGACATTGAATCCTAATCTCACCATTTGGAGCACTGAGGAGGACTGGTCACCTTTAGCTACTTTCCTCTTGGTTGGGCTAGTACGGACATGATGAGTACAACTAAAATTGAGAAAACTTGTGTGGAAGACTTCTGAAGAGCACTTGGCAAGGGAATCTACTCCTTCATCCCCAGTGAACAAAGACTTTTTATGACATGAAAGGATGAAACCAAATATACAGAAAGGGCAGAAATGAAATGTTTATATTCAAATTTAAGTTGGAAAAATCAGACACAGCAAGCTAATTAAAGAAAACAGACTAAGCTAGAGAAATGAGAACAATGAGGGGAGCTAGTCTCAAGATAAAACAGGTGCAGAGTTTAAAATGTGGAGAAAATTATGTACAGGGGAGATGCTAACAGTGTATGAAAGTCAGCAGCCCTACATACAGAGAAAAGATAAAGGAGAATGAATTAAAAAACAGTAGAAGGCCAGTTAAATGGCATTTGCTGCCAAGCTTGATGACCTGAGTTAGATCTCCAGGACTCACATGAAGGAAAGAGAGAGCTGATTCCTCTAAGTTGTCTTGTGACCTTTATGTATGTGTCACGTTACGTGAGACACTCCCCCATTCCAAAATAAACATAACAGCGACAACAACACCAATAATGATAATAATAATAATAATAATAATAATAATAATAATATTTTAATTCAGCTGAGAGCAAAAGTTATCCTCAAAGAAGAGAGAAAAAGAGACTGAGTTACTAGCCCAAACCAACTTCTGGCATAAGGTTCATGCGTTAGCTATGAGTTTTCAGATTGGGATGTCCCCAACTTTTAAAGTGCTATTGGAAACATTCCAGGGTGATCAGTGTCTCCCAGGCATTCTTATCTGTTCCAGTCTGTAAGTTAATGATGCCCAAACATGAACCCTCAGACTTGCCTGTCAGCCTCCTCCTCTTCAGGCCTGAATGTCTTCATGCAGCTGTCTCAGAGACTCCTCTATCCAGGTGTTTTTCAAGAATTTCAGTGTGAGACGCTGGCGAAGTTGCATGTGATATCTGTCTGGACAGCAGACCTGCCTCCTCTGCTGGTGTCTCTGTCTCAGCATGGGAAACCATTTCTCCATTCTCAAGCAGGGTTGTTACTGACTGCCCCTTCCCAGTGGAAATTAGCCTACCACATATCACCCGTGACCATTTTCTCCTTTTCCAACAGAAACACCATATCGGATCTCTCATTCTTATTTTATGTGATGGCTGTTTTGCCTCCATCTGTCTGTCTGTCTATCTATCTATCTATCTATCTATCTATCTATCTATCTATCTATAATCTACCTACCTATCTATCTACCTACATTTCTATATGTACCACATACTTGATTTGTGTCCAAATAGGTCAGAAGAGGGTGTCGAATCCCTTGAACTTGAAATTGCAGACAGTTGTGAGCTTCCATGTGGCACTGGGAATCGACCCTGAGTCTCCTGGAAGAGCAGCAGGCCCTCTTAACCACTGGACCATGTTTCAGACACTCCGCCACCACCACCACATCAGATCTCTTGTTTCCACCACGACAGAAACAACCTTTAGTCTCAGCTGCCATTTCTCTTTCAGTCTTGTTCCATCAAATTCATTCTCTCCAACTCTACAAGACAATCAGACATGCAGTGGGCACACCTTACTCTCCCCTTCAGCTCAGCAACTTCCGCTATCCTAAGGATTGAGTCCATTTTCCTCCCTAAAGTTTCCAACTTCCTGTCTCCTCTATTGTTCTTCAAGAGACTAGTCTGTATATAACTTTCTTAGTTACTTCCATTCCCTGGTTCTTCTTGAACCCTTTGTCTTTTGTGTGAGACAGGGAGAAGTACTTCTGACTCCTGTTAGGAATAACCTGATTTTTATGGGTAGAATATGTGGATTTTTTATTTTTTAAATTGATTTTTATTTCAATTAAAAACAATCTTATTTTACATACCAATCCCAGTTCCCTCTCCCTCCTGCCCTCCCATGCCCCCCACCAACCCCCATCCCCGCCCCCCTTCCACTCCTCAGGGCAGGTGTGTGGATTCTTTATTCATATTGAAGTAGTATTAGTGGGGAAAGACAGGCCTTGCTCTTCTCACTATCTGTGTTACACAGTCCATGTTGTCATTTTGATCCCTTGTACTCATTTTCTTACATTCCCTGAACTTCCCTGATTCTGCCAGAGAAAACTGAGGTCCCTCTGCATAGTTTGTGGTATCTCTGTTCTCTTCAGCATCCTGTAGTGTCGGAAATTCCCCAATGAATGGTGAACAGGCAGAGGAGGTGCCTAACCTACCACAATGCAACGGAGGAGGTGAGTGAGCCTTCATTTGCCAGTCAGCTCGTGAATCTGCAAGAGAGAAAGTCCCCCCACTTATCCTGTTCTTTCTATCCTCAGAGAGAAGAAATCATAGAGGCAGCAACAGGGATCAGAAATGAAGGGGAATAAGATGGGCAGAGAGGGGACAGATGGGTGGGTGACCAATGTTCTGACTCTGGGGACAGAGAAGGAGTCATGTCAGCCTCCCCTTCAGAGTCCCAAAACAGAAACATTCTTTCTAGGAGACACTAAGCCAGTTTGACCTGCCTGCTTGTCTCAGGTGGCTCTCCTGCCGTGATTTTCCTTGGCCATCTGAGTCCACTGGGTCTTTTGTTCTTTTCTACAGAGGGAAGTAGTTCTTATGAACAAATGTTGGATGAACAAGAGCCCCAGGGTGACTTATCCTCATCACCACAGAGATGTGAACCAGGTGAACAAGGGGAATGCTGGGTGGTCTACAGGGTTCTGGGGGCTGAATTCCGAACTGGTGTTTCCTGTTGTGTTTGCTCTGCACACATCATGATGTCCATGCTCTGGCTACTATTCTTCATATTTGCCCATGGTATTCTGGGGGAAATTCAGGGAGGAAAAAAGTCTTGAGAAACACCATGAAAGAATATTACTTGTAGTTAGGTGCTCAAAGCCACTTAGGCCACCATGTGTTAAACCCATAGGACAATTTCTTGCTCTCATTTCTCATTCTCCATGGAAATCAAGAAGCTTATAATTTCCATGCAGGTTGATGGTTTTTGTTGTGTTTTTCACAAACTTGCTAAAATGATCAAAGAGGGCTGGAGAGATGGCTCAGCTGTTAAGGGCTAGGCTCACTAAAAAAAAATATGAAGTGCTCAATGAAGAAGTATTACATCATCTGACTGATGTAACTTAATGAAACCCAAAGCTATGTGATCAATATATCTCATGTTATTTGTACTATACACTCTTCCTACATTCTTTGACACATGTGTCATTCCTTCAGTCTTAAAACTCTTAAGACTTTGTCAAGGTGGGGGGGAATAGATGCAGTTTTAATTTTCTAGAAACACAGGAGTGAATAAGTTGCTGGTATGTTTCAGAACTTGACAAGGACAAGGAGATCAGAGGTCAAGTTTCTGGATGGTTCCACCCGGGCTCTAGGTTCAATGAGGCTGGTGTTTAGGTTCCCAAGATCTGAACCAAAGTGCAAGTTCAAGGGAATTTGGCTACTCAGGTGAGCCTGCAAGGGTCTAGTGGAAACAGGTTCTATTTAGTAGACAGGTTTGCTTAGGGAGAGAGGAGAAAAGCCACCACCGAGATTTAGAAAGTGTGTGAATGTGTTACATGAGATAGGCGAGCCCCAGAAGAATCAAGCTAGAAAATATGAACCCAAAGGCAATGTAAAATGCAGTGCACACTGCAGAGATGAAAACAGATGGTGAAGAATCCAGTAAACGACAGGGTGAGAAAACCCAGAGGGCTAGGAAGAGGCACAAAGACCTTCCCAAGTAGCACTGAAAATGGAGCTGTTAGGAGAAGTAGCTACCACCTGGTATGAGCCAAGTTCTTAACCAAGGAACAGCTATGCTTGTGAGTCCCATTCTCTCTGAGTGAACACTTGTATTGTAGAGCATATGTGCAAGCATTGAACTTAGCAACTGATGAATGTTCATAAGTGGCTGTAGGGGGACTAATTGATTTTAGTGGGTGAGTAGAGCGTGGCTGTTATAGATTGATACCTGTCAGGAGCATGGCAATAGGGCTGGTTGGTTGGCTTGTACAAGCCCATTTCCTGGACTCACAATTAGGATTATTCTGGTTGTGTCTTTTTTTTTAAATGGTCAAAGAATAATGCATCTCCCTAGGAGTATGAGAACCTTTAGAGATTTCTTCTTCTTCTTTAAAAAAAAAATACATGTATGCATGGGAGGAACTCCCAGAGACCAGAAGAGCGTGTCATACCCAGAGCTAGAGTTACAGGTGGTTGTGATCCACCTGTTATTGGTGCTGGGAACCGAACTAATGTCCTCAGGAAAAGCACCATGAGCTCTTCACTGCTGAGCCATCACTCTAGCTCTGGTACAGGAACTTTCAATTCCTAGTTTCTCCCTTAGGAAGTCCATCATTTGAGGCAGGCAAGAGAGTATGTATTGTCCATATCGAAAATACCTTTTCTGTAAGAGGACACTGAGTACAAAATCCTGAGTCCAATTCAATGAGTAAGAGTTGTAGATTAGTGGTTTGAAAGAATTATGTCTGTGGATGGGGATAGAAAAGAGAAGTTAAGACATTTTTATTTTTTTCAAATTTATTGTCTTAAAATATTTTTTCATAAAGTATCTTTTGAGATTATTCTTTCCTCTTCCCTAACCCATTTCAAATCCTCTCCATATCCTTACCCACTCTTCAGGTTCTTTCCTTCTCCCTCCCTCCCTCCCTTCCACCTTCCCTCCCTCCCGCCCTCCCTCCATTCTTCTCTGTGTATGTATGTGTGTGCATGTCTTGTTTAAAAACAAACAAGACAAAAAAAATCCCAAAGAAAACAAAAGAAGCACACACACAAGCTGTGACATTTGTCCTAGCCAACTCCTGAGCAAGGGGCCTGTCCTGGAATGTGGTTGATTTACCCAGTGGCTCTGCATTGGAGAAAACTAACTTCCTCGTGCAGCAGTATCCATTGCTAACAGCTTCTTGGTTAGAGGTGGGACTTGTGCTCACTTCCCATTCTCAGTCCTGGGAGAAAAGTTAGAGTGCTGAATATTTCACTCAGGTGGTAGAGAACTGTCCAGTGTTTCCAACTTGCCACAGAGTTGTTGCCCTCACAGTGTCATAATGGTTAAAGGTGGTTCCAGCACAAAGCCTGGCTGAGAGCCACCATCATCCATCATTTTGAGTCAGCCCTCAAGGCCTCTCATGCTTTGAACTTATACCCATAGAGCCTGGTCTATATTTTATTATTCCAACAGAATTAGATTATGATAATGTGGGATAATCCACTGCAAGTAGTCAATAAGAAAGTATTTTTAAAATTATGAAGGTCTTCTCATTTCTTGTATTCCTGGAAAATGGCTCCAAAAATTCAACAAAATCAACAACAAAAAAACCGTGTCAGAAAGGATTGCTCCTCATTTTCTTGAAGGCCAGTGAACTGTAGGAATCCTCTTTGCCTTGTGATCACTGTGTTTGGGTAATTTTGGAGAATATGTCTTTGGCCAGTAGAGTATAACTGAGAGAATAAGATACATTACTGCCAGACTTTTTCACAAAATTAGAATTCATCCTTCCAAGTTTCACATGAGCTCAGTAACAGCTACAAGGAAGTGACACTTGTATTGGAGTAGAGGTGACCGGGAAATCTTATTCACCACTTAACAAATTATGCTGCAAATAAATGTTTAACCAGACAAGCAGTTCCTTCTCAGTCTTTCCAGGCTGAAATCTCCATGCCAGTCAGGAGTTCTTCTCTGAAGGCTCTGGGGGAATTCCTACAACCAATTTTCTCCAGTTTTTTTTTTTCCCCTCAAATAAAATCCAATTCCTTGTGGCTGTGGCACTGAGATCACAACTTTGTTACTTGTTACCTCAGATCAGTCAGCTCTCCAGAGCTGCTCATTTTCTCCAACAGGAGTCATCCTCCATCTTGAAGGAAGCAGGAGGCTCTGGAACCCTCTTCAAGCTTCCAGTCTCTGATTTCCTGTTTTGCTGCCAGCTGAGAAAACAAACAAACAAAAACTTCGATGCTTGTAAAGGGCTCATCTGGTTAGAGCAGGCCTACCCTGAAGCCTTCTCTCTCTTGAGGCCAACTCTGCCACATGACCTAAGATAAGCACAGGAGTAATAATGTCTCAACATGGTCACAGTTTCCAGGATTATGAAAGAAGCTCTTAGAGAACCATCTTAGAATTCTACTTACCACCAGAGAGCTCAAGACACCCCATAGAAAAGAAATGTCTGAATGAGTCACTGATCTCAAGCAAGTGACATTACAGGGGTCATCAAACAAAAGTAGACCATGAATGTGCTAAGACAAGAAGGAGCCTTTAGGAGAGACAGAGAGACTACCATGATTAGGTGAGGCACTTTGGGGAAGGGATGAGGGCCTGTGTCTGTGTCACACCTAGTCAGGGGCTTGTGCCTCAGACCGATTATACAGAGACAGGTGCAGGCAAACATTTCAGGACCTCTGAATGACGTCTGTGTTCGCTTAACCTGGCAGTTCCTTTTTGGAACGATCTCAACCTCATGGTTGTGGGGGTTTGTCAAAGAAAGCAATGTTCTCCAGAGAATATTCTGCAATGACAAGTACTGGTGAGGCCATGAGAATATGAGAGACTTTCTCCCTTATTTTATAGAGCTACTTGACAAACATGTGAATCCCCTCATTGTGAAGTGGAACCGTTAGTGACATCTGCCGTTTATTATTATTAGAAGTAGAGTCATTATGAGAGTACAAGGAGGAAGTGTAGCTTCTGTCATGGGGGATTTGACTTTGTGGAAAGAACCCCATGATAAATAGAAAGAGGATGCTATATAAGGGTGAACAGTGGGTTGCCATGTGTGGAGTACTGGGGTTCCTGAGAGAAATAGAGGCTTAAAAGGGATGTGTGATTGGTTCCATGATGGTATTTGACTCAAAACTACATGCACAATGAGAAAAATGACTTATTTCATAGACTGGCAAGCCACCATTTGTCTTTGTGAATGTCCCAAGATAGAGTAGGACCAAGAATCTTTGCACAGTTTGGCCACCAACTGGTGGATCCACATTCATTATCTTTTGAGACCCTTTTGGCTTGGGGACTCCTTAGGCCTTTGTTTCCATCTATTGGGTGAGGGGTCATTATCTTGCAATATTCAGAAAGAATGGGAAAATCAAGAGCAGACACAAGATAAAGACTTTAAAAGTTGATTAGACAAAATGAAGCAAGAATAAACACAGAGAAAATATTTGCTAAATACTGTACCTACAAATCAAGATAGCAATTTATATTTATTTATTTTACATACCAACCACAGTTTCCCCTCCCTCCTCTCCTTCCATTCCATCCTCTACCTCACCCCTACCCTCCCCCATCCACTCCTCCTCTGTCTCCAATTCAGAAAGGGTAGGGCCTCCCATGGGAGTCAACAAAGCATGGCATATCAAATTGAGGCAGGACCAAGCTCCCCCCCCCCATACATCAAGGCTGGGTGAGGCAACCCACCATAGGGAATAGGTTCCAAAGAGCCAGCTCATGCATCAGGGACAGATCCTGGTCCCACTGCCAGGGGTCCCACAAAAGACCAAGCTACACAACTGTCACCCAGATGCAGAGGGCCTAGGTCAGTCCCATGCCAGCTCCCTAGCTGTCTGTCAAGAGTCTGTGAGCTTCCACAAGCTCAGGTCAGCTGTCAGCCATCATGATCTTGATGCCCCTTGGATAGCAACTTATTTATATAGAATTATACATGCATCTTTAACTAACATAACTCAGAAATAAGAGCACAATGAGACAAGTTACTGTTGAGACCGAGTTGCTTGGCCGTGGTTCAGGAATACCACCTGAGTTGTGCACAAGAGGTCTAGAATTTACACCTACAGGATTCTCCCAGCAAGTCTTCAGATGATCTTGGTGGGAGCACCATACTTAAAAGCTAGAGATCATCACTCTCAGGTCTGAAGCTGAAGCTTGCTGAGTGAAGGCCATGATGGGAGTGGGAGGAAACACTGTACTCAAAGCACATAACTCCTAGGCTACAGCTCACTTCACCTGGAGCCCCGAGAAGCAGGTACCAGCATGCAGAAGTGCTTAGCTTAGGCTGCTATGGGACCATCAACCAAGCATTTGGAGAGCGACTGCTGCCGATTGGCTGGATTTCAAATTTGTATCACTGCTTCTGACTGGCTAGATTTCAGAAGCATGGTTAGTGATTAGGTAGTCATTGGCTAATTTAGGACAGGTTTGAAACTGGAAAAACTAGCAAAAGTCATCCTTTTCTGTTTTCAAAGAACTTTTTTTTTTCCTTCATCAAGGAAAATAAGAACCTTAAAAGTTTCCTTGCAGCTACACGTAGCAAATTAAAAGTGGAAAAATGGAAAATAATATACATGGTGGAAGGAGAAGAGCTCCATTGGATCTTGGGTGTGATTTCTAGAGCAGGTTTTGTTTGATTCTTAGTCTTCATTGTTTTTTGTTTGCTTGTTTGTTTCCCCAGAAAATGCTTCCTCTTTCGTTCAGAATCTAGCTAGCTTGCTGAGCAGTCAGAGAGCAATGGGGCTCTCATGTGTATCTGTCTCCGGATCCATGGACAGCAATTTTTTGGTTAGGATTACTTTCCAGAACGCTAGATCACCAAGTGAACAAGAAAGGGGTTAGAAGAGCGTGCCTCTAGTCTGCCATTCGTGACAGACAAGATGCCTGTGCCCTAAAATAATCACACAGATGCAGTTCTGACAAAGGGGGAAAGACAGGAACGGAAAAAATAAAAAAAAGGAACTGAAAGCCAGACAAAGGGAGAATGTAAAACTGTTTTGGAGGAGTGAGAAATGGGGGTAGATCAATAAAGATATAGAGAGGTCATGTGTCAGATGCTTGGGATCACAATAGAAGACCCCAGTTCAAGGCTAGCTTGGGCTAGTGTGAGTTCAAAGCCATCCAGGGAGATTAGTTGGCACCATGTCTAGAACTGAAACATAAAGAAACATGTGAGGGTGTAGCCCAGTGGTAGACTGCTTGCCTAGCCCAAGTGAGGCCCTGAGTTTGGTCCCCAGTATTGCAAAATTAAATAACAAATAAATCAATGCCCACAATTTTGATCCAGGAGCAGAGCAATCCACAAGTGAAAATGAGATGTGTCCCTGTGTCATGTGTTCCCCAGCATACAAGCCAGAAGACCGGGAAGCAAGGATGGGAAACAACCAAACAGGTAATTAATAAATAAGGCTGACCAAGGGTCATGGGTTAGTCATGGCTCAGGGAGTACCACAGGCTTCAGCTTGTGGTTCAGTCCACCCCTAGTTCTCTGCATTTGCCCATTGGGAGCTGGAGAGAAGCAAGAACCCTTTAGAGAGCCATATTTAAGAGGATGGAGTTGGTTGATTACATGTGAATGGAGTAGAAGAAATGCACTCTTAAAACTGGCATCTATCTTGTCTGCTACCTTGATATACTGAATGGTACCCATTCTTCCCTGCCACCCAAGACAGCAGGTTAAATGTCTGCAGCCAGATAATGAAGTTGTTTTGTCATGGCCTTAGGAAGGAGTGTGAGCCTGCTACTGGTGAGGAGGAAAGAGTTCAGGCCAACTATATTCAATCCACTGTGCATTTCCAACCAGAGTTCTCAAGTGTGTCAAGTAATTAATTAGGGCTTACCCAGAAAATATCCTACAAAATTCTTATTTTATCCATGCAAAAACGTGTTAAGATTTAAAATGTCCCATTGGGGGTGGGGCTGAAAATGCCCAGGGCCCTCCCTGGATTCCCAGTTCTCAGTTTGTCATCCTTGGGTACTTCTAGGAGGAGGAAAGGATTGACAGTCCAAACGCTGATGTAAGCCTTTGTAGCGTGATCAGTCCTAAGATTTGTAACTTCTCTTCTTTATGTCTTCCCTCATTGCCACTTATTGTATTCTAGATACCTTGGAGACTAGGAACAACACTAAAGCAGGAAAATCCAAGGGGAAAAGAAGTAAGGAAATGGATGAGAGTTTATGTGCTTTCAGTGTTACTGATAAGTTGTCTGCTGCTAGACTTAATATTGTTATTGTGTATGACACGGGGTAGACTGTGACCTCCCCTGAGTTCCTCCTTGCCCTTGGAAACTGTTATCTTAATGACAAAGACATTCTACACATATGGTTAAGATAGGGACCTTGATATTGGGGGAGGGGGGTTGTCTTTGACTGTTGGTGTAGAGGTGACCACTCTGATTTTATAGATCTGAAGAAGTGCAGAACCTTTCTTAGATGCACAGAGAGGAAGTGGAGAGTACCTGGGAGAAAACCTACATTCATTCTGGTTATACCCACTCGAGTATTTGACAATATGGCCATTAACTAGGGCTCATTGTCTTTTCCAGTTCTTATTTAAGATAAAATTTATAGTGAAAGACACAAATCCTAAGCACACCCTTTGGTGAATCCTGCTAATTGCATTATTTTTACAATAAAAATCTTATGGGGTCATGGAACATTAGCATACGCCTGTGAAGATTCTCCATACCCTTTCTGCCCCCTACCCATCAAGGCAGTCACTTATTGTTCAAGGATGACTTAATTTAGGTAGATTTTTAAGTGCTTTGTAGATAAGATTTCCCAGCACGTTCTTTACTGTAAAGTTTCCCTCTCTCCACAGAATGACTCACAGTGAGGGACTTGGTGCCAGTTGGCTTCTTCTTAGCTAAGGAGTATATATGTTGTCTGAATAGCCCGGATCTGTTTGCATGTTCTCCAAATGCTGGGCTCTTCAACATTTTCATCTTGGGGTATTATAAGGATACTGTTAGGAGCATCCTTGTAGGAGTCTCTCTGAGGCCCCGTGCTTTCATATTCTTACAGGAGCTTCTAGTGACATCTGGTATATATAGAATAGGTGTCTTCTTGTCCCTTTGTCAAGATCCACAAGGACTGTGATTCTAAGAGGCCAGGTATATGCTGCAATGCAGGTGTTGGTGGCAAATATGACCTTTTTCCTGTGGCATTTAACAAGGTTTATAAAATATAATTCCTGATTATCTCTGACAGCTCACTAAAGTGCAGCTCTGTGTGTTTGCATGAGGGAGATATGTGAATGCCTGGCTTTCACACAGGTCCTTAGAAAACATGTCCCTAGAAAAGAAGTGTTTATAATAGTTGGACAACCCTGAACAGTACATTCTATTTTTTTAAGATTTATTTATTTATTATGTATAGAGTGTTCTGTCTGCACATATGCCTGCAGGCCAGAAGAGGGCACCAGATCTCACTACATCTACAGATGGTTGAGAGCCACCATGTGGTTGCTGGGAATTGGACTCAGGACCTCTGGAAGAGCAGCCAGTGCTCTTAACTCCTGAGCCATCTCTCCAGCTCTGACCAGTACATTCTTTAGTCATCATGAAGGTAGGCAGTGCCTCCAACATGGCCTGGGGACATCCAGCTCATTGCACCATGCTTAGTCCTTGGCTGAGGAAGGGTTACAGACTGTGGGGTAAGCATCCTATCCACTCTCTGCCCATGACCTTGACTGAGCGATATCATCTGAGGATTCTCAGTGGGGGAGAGCACACCAAAGTGAGGGTCTGGCAATTCTGAAAGGATGTCATCCCATGCATGCACTGGTATGATGGCTGCTCTCATACACACACATGAACACGGACATACACACATCCTATATACCAACACACCCATGGGTTAATAAATAATAATGATCCATCACGTTCATCATTAGACTGACTTTCCATTTCCCCAGAGCTATGGTCACATGAATTTGGATAATTCAAAAGAAAACAAAATTGTAACAAAAAGATCCTACTGGGCTTCCTTAAAGTTCCCAGGCCCTACCCTGGCCCTTCTTGTTGCTAGATTAAACACGTGAGGAGTTTCATGCTACAACTCCAAGAGAACAGGGATTTAAAAAAAAAATAATGTATTTATTTTTATTTTGTGTGCATTGGTGTTTTACTTTCATTTATATCTGTGTGAAGGTTTCAGATCTTGGAGTTACAGGAAGTTGTTAGTTGCTGCTGCTACGTGGATGCTGGGAATTGAACCAGGGTCCTCTGGAAGACCAGTCAGTGCTCTTAACCACTGAGCGGTCTCTCCAGCTCCAAGAATAGAGATTTTTTTTTTTTTTTAAAGAAAAAGTCTTCACGTAGAAGTTTAGAGCATTCTTCAATTTCCAGTGTAGCATGGTCTCTGGCTTGAATTTTCATGATAGATACATGCCCTAACACTTATTGTTCAATCAGTCTAAGCCATGAGCAGGGATTAGCTTTCCATTATTCAAAGGTGTTCAAAGGAAGGTTCTTTCCTCTAGCCTCCCAAAGCCATAGCCCAAGACACAGAAATAACTGAAATTTAACTCTGCCATCAACTTTCACATGACTAAACTGGTTGTTAAGAATTTTGCCTCATTTCTAGGATCTGAAGTTTGAAAACAGTATTTGAATACAGATGACACATAAGGCTTCTTAGAGAATTACATTCATATATCTGAATGATTAATTTTTTAAAAATAATTTATTTAACTTCATTTTATGTGCATTGGTGTAAAGGTGTCAGATCCCTTGGAACTGGAGTTACAGACAGTTGTGAGCTGCTATGTGGATGCCAGGAATGGAACCCAGTCCTTTGGAAGAGCAGCTAGTGCTCTTAACCTCTGAGCCTTCTCTCCAGCCCCTCCCCCCCATGAGTGATTAATTTTATTCTTTTTGTTTTGAAGGAAAAAAGAGAGGCCACAACTGGTCAAAAGCAAAACAGAGAACTGCACTGGCAAAAAGTAAGCAAAAGGAGGAACGGAGTTACGACTGTTGAATTTATTACGTTGTTGCCTATGGCATACTTGTAGGCCTGTGAGTGTCTGAGCCATGGTAGGATGTGTGTGTTGTAGCCACACTTGTGCAGATGGGTGTACATACTTGCACCCACGTGGATAGACCTGGGCAGGCTGTTGAATGTCCTCTCTCTCATTCTTTACTTTATTCCCTTGATAACTGTCAGCAGCAAACACCAGTGAGCTTCCTGTCTCCGTCCCTGAACACCAGCACTATTTGTGCTCACATATGTATTCTTTACATGGGTGCTGGTCTTAGTGCTTGCACACTAGTTGCTCTTAACCACTGAGCAACCCCCCTCTCCCACAAAGTTTTATAGCTGCTGTTAGACGTGGGGGGAGAGGCTGTAACAAAGGGTTCTGATACTACAATGTCTTTTACAAATGGTTTGTTTCTGGTACAGGTGGTCATCCAGAGGTAAGTGGTCCAGAGTCGAAAGGGAGGTGCTGTCATCCTTAGTATGAATTTTTTATTGGTTTGGAAAATGTTGCAAAGAAGGATGAATGAAGAAAACAGGCTGCGTGTGCATGCATGTAACAAATGTATAAATGTACACGGGATAAGAAAATATATATTCATATGCACCTATGAAACTGTAGGGTTTTTTTTTTATTCTTTTGGCTCTTTCTCTTTGCCCCCCCCCAACTCGGCTTCCAAATAATTACACAGAATCTTTTTATTACTTATAAGTGCACAGCCTTAGCTTGGCTTGTTTCTAGCCAGCTTTTCTTTTCTTTCTTTTTTTTTTTTTAAGATTTTTTAAGTCTTCTGCCTGCACACCAGCAGAGGGCACTAGATCTTATTCAAGGTGGTTGTGAGCCACCATGTGGTTGCTGGGAATTGAATTCAACCGCTGAGCCATCTCTCCAGCCCTAGCCAGCTTTTCTTAATTATCCCGTCTATCTTTTGCCTCTGGGCTTTTACCTTTCTCTATTTCTGTATATCTTTTCTTTCCTTCTTATTCCATGTCTGGCTGTGTGGCTGGGTGGCTGGACCCTTCTTGCTGCTCGATCTCCCTTCTCTCTTTGTCTCCTTTTATTTATTCTCTCTGCCTGCCAGCCCCACCTATTCTTTCCCCTGCCTTGCTACTGGCCGTTCAGCTCTTTATTAGACCAGTCAGGTGTTTTAGACAGGCAAAGAATCACAGCTTCACAGAGTTAAACAAATGCAACACATCTTTGCATCATTAAAACAAATGTTCCACAGCATAAACAAATGTAACACATCTTAAAATAATATTCCACAACATAAAACCACTCATTTTTGTTTATAAACTCAGGTCTTTTAATATAACTATGTATCTGTCTAGTGAGGGAGATGTTCTTAGATATAGAAAAATGATTGACAGTCCATTTTCACAAATGTTCATTGAAGGGCTTGTGAGTTGGCTCATTGGTAAAGTGCTTGCTACCTAAGCCCACGGACCTGAGTGTGGGTCCCTTGCACCCACATAAAAAGTTGGGCACGATGTACACATCTGTAATCATTCACTAGTTAATACCTTGGATTTGTTGACTACAAGCCTAGCCACCCAAATCAGTGAAGTCTGGTTTTCAGGTCAGAACTTGTCAGTTAAGGTGGAGAGCTACTGAGGAAGACACTTGACTTTGATCTCTGGCCTCCACACACATTCAGGCACACCCACACATGTACATACAAAGGAACACAATGTGTATGTACACATGCAAAAATGTGTGCAGTAATTATATTTGGCTATTGGAATAGAAGTGATGTCCATATTTTTATTTGTGTTTTAAAAACATTGAGCATGCTCAGCCTTTTTTATTAAAGGAGAGAGAGCGAGAGAGATCAATCTTAGAACATTTTTGAGCAAGTTAGTCACACACATATCTACATGGTAACATTTCCTATAATTTTTTTAAAGATTTTATTTATTTATTATGTATACAACATTCTGCTTCCATGTATATCTGCACACCAGAAGAGGGCACCAGATCTCATAATGGATGGTTGTGAGCCACCATGTAGTTGCTGGGAATTGAACTCAGGACCTCTGGAAAAGCAGTCGCCACTCTTAACCTCTGAGCCATCTCTCCAGACCCCATTTCCTATAATCTTATTCCTGTAAATTTTATATAGTTACAAACAGCACCCTGGCATCTGGTTTTAGTAATAGTCTAAGGCATTCCTTCTTCCTGGACAAAAGCTAAATGTCTTTTTCTAAATGATTGTCATTTTCAAATCAGGTCCATGGAGTAGTCTTTGGAATCCCACTCAATATTAATTTCACAAACAAGAATCTTATACTCTTGACAATGACTCAGCTGTGCTGTTGATTGACATGTACATTTTTGTTTAGAAAGGAGAAAAAAGATAGTTGTGTCCATTTTTTGAATGCATATTTTGAAAACCACATTACTCAGGCTGAGTTTTTGAAAACAATTTTATTCAAGTCTCTATGTGTAGAGAGATTTCTTTTTTTTTTTTTTTTTTTTTTTTTTTTTTTTTTTTTTTTT